GAGGGACGGACAGAGGGACGGGGGCAGCGCGGGGCTCGGCGGCTTTGGGGTGACAGGGAGTGACAAGGAGTGGGGGGTCCCTGGCTCCATCCGTGGAACCCCCCCGCCCCGGGTCCGACCCCCCCCGCCTCGGGGCTGAGGCCAGGCAGGAGCTGTGACACCGACGGGGACACGAACCCCGCGGGGGTGTGGGGGGACACGGGGTGGCACTGCCATGGGCTGGGGACAGGCACCACCACCCTGGGCTGCTGCTCTTCGGGGCCCAGGCTGGGTCTGCACCCCCTCCCTCCCCCTGGGACTCGGGGGGCACGGCAGCACCTGCAGCCCCCTCCGAGCACCCTGTGGCACCCCCGCTCTGGGTGGCACTGGTGGCACTTGGAGCTGTCGCCTGAGTGCCACCAGTGGGTGCTGGGGCCCTCTGTGGGGCTGGTGGCCCCTCTGGGACACCAGGGCACCCCGGGACCCTCCTGTCCTTCCTCACTGGGGTGACTGTCCCCATGGTGGTGGCACGTCCCCAGGGGCTGCGGCCATTGCGGTGATGTCCCCCCCAGGGGCTGCAGGGCCTGGTGGCCTCCTGTGCCCCACGGGTGGCTCCCACATGTCCCTGTTCGCTGCAGGGGTCACATCTTGTCCCCGAGTCCATCAATGTCCTGCGTGTCCCCTGGCCGGTGACCCTGTGGTGACAGGGACGCTGTTGTCACCCAGAGTGTCACCCTGTGGCATTGGGAAGGTGCCACAGCCGTGCACGGGGTGCTGGCCCCAGGGACCAGCCTGGCACTGGCATCCCTGGGGACAGCGGGGGGCCAGGGGCTGTGTCCTGCACCACGGCCCTGCCACACACCGGCCTGGGCAGGTGTGGTGACATGTCCAGGGCAGTGCCATGGCCACTGTGGTGCCGTGCCCAGTGCAGTGACATGTCTGGTGTAGTTCTGTGGCTGCCACAACGCCGTGGTGCCAAGGGTGACACGGTGCCATAGCCAATGTGGTGCCATGGCCGCTGTGGTGACACAGTGCTGTGTCTGCCACGGTGCCACCGCCAACATTGGTGCCCGATGGCCAGTGTGGTGCCATGTCCACTGTGATGCCCTGTCCAGTGCCGTGCCATGGCCACTGCAGTGCCATGGCCACCGTGCCAGAGCAGTGGCACACCTGCAGGCTTTGGGAAGCAGCTGGAGCCGTTGTGGTGGGGTGGGTGAGCTCAGGGTGGGACAGGCTCCATGGTCACACACCCATGGCTTGTCTCTGTGATTCCCGGGATGCTGCAGGTTGAGGTGGAGGTGGAGAGCATGGACAAGGCCGGGAATTTCATCGGCTGGCTGCACATCGAGGGCGTGAACCTGTCGGTGGCGCTGGTGGAGCAGGCGCTGTCCCGCGTGCACTTCACGGCCGAGCGCAGCCCCTACTGCAAGGCCCTGCTGGCGGCCCAGGACGCGGCCAAGCAGAGGAAGGAGAAGGTGAGGGGGACAGGGGACCCATCCCAGCCGTGTCACCACCCCAGAGACACGGCCCCACCACACCCGATGTCCCCACCCCGAGTGATGTGCCCACCAAAGGATGTCCCTGTGCCAAGAGGTGCCCTCGCTCCGGGGCGTGTCTCCACCCCAAGAGATGTTCCTGCTCTGAGGGGTGTCCCCATGCCAAGGGATGTCCCCGGCATAAGAGATGTCCCTTTGCCAAAGCGTGTTCCCACCCCGAGAGCTGACGGCCCCAGCGGGGGGGATGTCACGACCCCAATTAATGTCCCCACACACTTGAGTGCCCACACACCAAGAGGTGGCCCCACCACCATGGATGTCCCCATCCCAAGAATGTCCCCACTCCTGGAGGTGTGCCCGCCCCAAGGGATGATGGTCCCATGCTGAGGGATGTTCCACCCAGCAATGTCCCACCCCAGGGATGTCCCACCCCAGGGATTTCCCACCCCAGTGACACAGCCCCCCAAGCTGAGGCCTGGGGATGTTCCCAGTGCTGTGTCCCACCCTGTGTTACCGTGACCTGCAGTGTCCCCACGCCGTGTCCCCCCAGGTGTGGTCGCACTATGAGGAGACGCCGGTGGAGGAGGTGGTGCCGGTGCTGGAGGAGAAGGAGCGCACGGCCAACTACAAACCCGTGTTCGTCACCGAGATCACCGACGACCTCCACTTCTATGTGCAGGACGTGGAGACAGGTACAGGGCACACCTGGGCACCCCCAGCACCCCGGGGCGCTCCCCAGAACGGGCGTGGTGGGGGCGAGGTGGATGGGACAAGGATTTGTGGGTTTGGTGGGGAACATGGGGTCACCCCTCCACCCTCCAGGGCCATTTCTGCGACCAGGGAAGGGTCCATGGTTGGGACCCACGTTTGAGGGACAAAGATGAAGGTCTTGGGGCAGGGTCTGGGGTTGAGGTCCAGGTTTGGGATCCAGGTTTGGGTTTTTGGATCATTGCTGGGACTTGGGGTCCAGGCTCTGGGGAGCAGGGTTGGGGTCAGGGGGTTGATTGTGGCTCGGGGCCTGCAGGAGCCCAGCTGGAGAAGCTGATGGAGAACATGCGCGCCGAGGTGGGCGCCCACCCGCCCGTGGAGGGCTCCTTCGCCCCGCGCCGCGGCGACTTCTGCATCGCCAAGTTCGTCGACGGGGAATGGTGAGCAGGGGACGGGGCCACCCCGCGGCTGGGGCTGGGCCGGGCCAGCAGTGCGGTGTGGGGTGAGGACCAAATCCCCAAAATCCCCCAAATCCCGCTCTGCAGGTACCGCGCCCGCGTGGAGAAGGTGGAGTCGGGTGGGAAAGTGCACATCTTCTACATCGACTACGGCAACGTGAGTGGGACTGCGGAAACGGGGGGGAACCAGCCCTGGATCCATGGATCCATCCATGCATAGATCTATCCATGCATGGATCCATCCATCCATCCATCCATCCAT